AGTAAGTGTCTGCTAAAAGCTCCATTTTTGTTGCCCTTCCATTGCTGCTGAGCTTTTAGAGTTAGATGATGACAGATTGTGAGCTACCTGATATCCTTCATCATCCTCCCCAGTGGAGGTGTTTGTTCCGCCCCGAGCAAGTCCTCGAGGACTAACAAACAGCCGGCGTGTTTGATGGACTACGGGGAGACATCTGCTCTGCCCGGCTTCGCCATACAGAATGAAAACAACATGTTACAGTAATCAATCAATATGCAAACTGTGTCCTTTTAGTCTGATGATTAACCTTACAGACTTCATGCTTATCAAGTCATTATATCAGCTTGTCATTGTGAATTAGTACCGAAGAGCTGCAGGCTGTGTGAGTGAGAGCATGCGGTGTTTTCCTCAGGTTGGCATATTGCTTTAATGTTCGATATATCCTCAGCAACATTGTCACAACTGTGCTTGGAGCACCCTCTGGGATAAGCTCTGTTCTGTGTACTCAAGGGACAGAAGGGAAAGAGAAAGTCTGCACAGTGCAATCTGATTTGTGGTTATAGGCGCACCATCCCTCACAAAGTAATCTAGAGAATATCACCCCAGCCAAAAGATCCTTTGAGCGCTGTCATCCATTTTAAACTGCGAGCTGCTCATGTCGGCAGATGTGTTTGTGCATCGTGATGAGCTGATTTGGAATTGCCCTTGGCTGATTTTAGCCTCTGAATATCCTACCTGCTGTAGACAGGTTGTTCCCAAAATGGGGTCTTCTGGGAGTTACAGAGGGTTTGCTGCAAAATTACGCATCACTGTTACTTTGTTGTTTTACATATCAAAGGAGCACTTCACCCCCAAATGATCATTTGTATATCAATTACTCACCTCATTGTACATTAAATTCAGGAAGAAACTGTCTTTCTTACATGCCTCCACAACAAAGCATAAGGCAAACATTTTAGATTAATTAAAGTAAACAAGGTCCCCGTTTAACAGCAGCAAGATTATACCAACATCCCTTTACAAACTCTCACACAACTCGGGCAGTATAATCCAAGTCTCATTCATCCAGTTGTATGCTCAGTAACTCTCAAACAAACAGCTCTTTTTGATAGGGGACTGAAGTACAAGTGAAATGTATCTATGCTCTCTTCACAGCCAGACTCCATTGACAAAAACAGTAATTTTACCTCACTGAAAATGGGAGCTGCTGGTCTACTGCTGCCTCTATCTTTGAGTTTATTTGTCTTATTTTGGGACTTTGGTGAATCAAAACTAACCCTTTAAAACACCAAAGTCATACAAAAACACATACTAACTAACTGATCGAGGCAGTGGTAGACTAGCAGCTCTTGTGTTCAGGGAGGTAAAATTACTGTTTTTCTCAATGGAGTCTCGCTTTGAAGAGAGCATTTACTTACATGTGCACGTTATAGTCAAGTTGTGTCAAACAGGAGACGTTTCAGTATGTGCTCCATTTGACAAAACTTGTTTAACCAGGGGTCTGTGGTCAAAGTGGTATTTGCCTTTAAAAGCTTTGAGGACCACCACTTTCAAACTAACATGAGTCTTGTGGTGTTTAACAGCAACATGTAAAGGTCATCCTTCAGCTTATCACAAACTTTCATCATCAACAGATCTTTACACTGGTTAGTTTTCATATTGATTTTAAAATTCTTTTACAAGTCTGTAAGGTTCAAAGTTTTAAGGTTTACCAGAGGCACACCAGACTACTTCTCAGAAATGCTATTGGTTTATGAATTAGAAATGTCACTCAGATCCAATGTTGTCCTCTTTTAGCTCTTTCACAAAGCAGAACAAAAAAATTTGACGACACTGCTTGCCGTCATTATGCTCCAAGATGCTGGATCGGCCTTCCGGAGGAGCTCAATCAATTTAATCAATCAATTGTATTTATTAATGTTCTGTAATCTAATGGTTTTATAATGTATGTATGCCTATTTAATCACCATCTTTAAAATTATTTATTTTAATTTTTTTTTTGTTCTTATCAAAAATTTTATTGCTGACTATTATGATTTATTTAATTCTACTTAATTTTCATTAACATTTTAGTAATTATAACATTCTTTTGTTAAAGGCTTGTAAAGCTTGAGTGTAGTGATATCTTTAAAAGGTGCTATATGAGCAAAGTTTCATTGATTGATCATTTGATTGGAGATTCATGGTTTTTTTTTTTGTTCTTTTTACCGGATGGATGAAAAACTGTAATCTTAGAAGTACCTATAGTTGTCAGACAAGTGCAGTAAACAGTGTTGGGGAGGAGCTATTTACATATAATTGAATTACAAATAAAATGTAATTGTAATCAGTTACAGAAAAAAATCTGTAATTAAAGGAGCTATTTAAGAAATCTAAAGCAAATAGGCGTAATATCCTCCTAATATGTCACAGAGACTAAGGAATAATGTTCATATAACATACTGATCTCACCGACAACAATGGTACAGCCAGAATATTCGCATTAAAAAAATTTTTTTACAGTCCGCAAATCATGTTTATGTTTTGAACCAGTCCAATCACACAGTCAGTAGAGTCTCAGCATCAGTTACAGTGAGCTACAGCAGCACGGCAAGCAGCATTAGCAATGTCCCGGTACATAGCATTAGCCGTCCTCCTCCTCTGTATCCCGGCAGCAGCGTTAGCAGCAGAGAAGCCGGGCTTGCTCGAACAGTCCGCTGGAAAACCGAAGATCAAGGACGCGGCGACATGGCCCTGCCATGGCAGCCGCCCGTGGGCAAACAAATCAGTCTCCAGCGTGCCGCTGTCCAGCAGCCTTGAATCTGTAGGGGAGGGGGGGACGGACACGACTCGTGGCAGTATTTTGAATTTTAGTGCAGTAACCGTTTTGGCCGCATTCTTACATACAGCGCCTTTAATTTACAGTCAGAGATTAAAAAGGCCTTGCTTCCAAATATATTCTTTTGGGTAAGAAGTTTATATGTAAAATATAACATTCATTTTGTTGCTTTGTGTCTTTTCACTGTGCATTGATGTCTTCTTTTGGCATATTTCCTGACAACACAGGTCAGCAAAGCCATTGGGACAAATCTGAGTGCAGCACTTATTCACTTATGTTTTTAGGACTATTCAGCTTTATTGCCCAGTTCAAAACATTTGTTAGAAAAGTAATCAAAAAGTACACATAACTTTGATTAAGTAATTGAAATAGTTACTTATTACATTTTTAATGGGGTAACTAATAGGGGTGGGGAAAAAAATCGACACAGCATAGGTCCTGTTTATACGACAACGATTTCAACTGAAAACGAAATAATAAAAGTTCCGTGTTCAGACAACAACGTTCTGATAACAATGGCTGTGCACACGGATCTGCAAAAATGACCAAAACATTGTAGTATACATGCCAGGCCAGTAGTTGGCAGTGTGACTTTGTAATAAACAACACTCGCCTGCGCACATGTGCTTCCTTCTACAGAGCGGTTATGTATAAACAAACAAAATGGCAACCACACAAACATTTGTCTGGACAGACGACGAGGTGGAGTTGCTACAGTAAATCTACACTTTGCTGGAGAAGCGTTGATAAATTCAATAGAGTGAGCAGCACAAAGAGAGCTCGGGAGTCTGCCATTGTTTTTGTGATGGTCGATTTTCTCAAGCATGCCTAGTGACTGGAACTGTAATGCGCATGTGCGAAAAGTCCCCGTTTTCAGAGGAGCTGCCTATTGCAAGTTTACATGACAACAGAGACGGTGCTGTTTCCGAAAATTTGCACTCTGGAAAGTTGCATTTTCAGGCAACCAAAATGCCGCTGTCATGAGAACGATCAGCCAAAACTCAGTTTTCAGCAGATCATTTTCGTGTAAACATGGCCATAGTATTGCAGTGTTTTTGTGTGGCAATATGGTATTGTCACACAGTGCCAAATATCACTTCTTTATTATATAGATTATTAGTATTACAAATACAAATTAAACTAAGGTTGTCTACTAGAATAAAATAATCAATTGCTTTTTCAGTCCACTAGATACGTAAGTGATGTGAACAGACTGAAAATTTTATCCTATTAGATAAAACAAATGACAACGTTTTCCTTTCGGACATAATTTACAGTTGAAATAAGATAATAAATTACAATATATCGCAGTATATTTTATTGCAATATTCAGCTTATCACAATATGTTTAAAATCGTAATAATATTGTATTGTAACTTATGTGTCGTATCGTATCGTGGATCCTCTGGTGATTCCCACCCCCTAGTAACTAGTAATCTGTAAAGTATTACATGTCAAAAGTAACCTTCCCAACACCGGCAGAAAAAGTATATTAACCTCTCAGATGTGGAGCAGAAGTATAACGTTGCATAAGATGGAAATACTCAAGTTACTCGAATTTGTACCTTCTGAGACCCTGTGTCCTCATATGTGGACATCACATTTTGGATTTACTTGACCTTATATGTTATTCTACTTAACGCAGACCTGTTGTCGTCATTCGTGGACACTTTTTTGTGCCGTCTAGGTAGTGAGAGCAGAATGCACTAATCCATGTAAAAACAAGATGGCAGCCATCTCTGCCAAGTCAGTCTGCAGCTGATCCCGATACAAAAGTGGACAATGTCCAAAACTTGATCACATTTTATGGTTGAAACTTGTTTATTTATAATTAATAATGTTTGTAGTTTGATATGGCAACAAAATTGAACAATTTTAGCAACAGGAACAAGCTAAGACGCTGTTAATTAGGACGTTTGAAGACATTGGGACTTTATTGTCATCTCGTTTGAGGACACAAGGACTTAATTATCATCGACAGTGTTTAGGTTTTTATATCTATCGGATATTAGTGATCCCAAGGACAAATTAAAAATGCTCACCAAACAAAACTTCAGGTCTCAGGAGGTTAAATACAGTATGTGAGTGGGGGTTCACTTCCACCACTGGCCCTATGGTTGTATTTGTAGTTGACACACCTGTCGCCAGGGGGTGGTGTAGCTTCCAGCGGAACCTTTTCATACCGGAAGTTGGTCTTGTTTGGTCAAACCAACATGGCTACCACCTTGCAATAACGTGAATGTAAATAAGCGGCTCACCTCTGAAACGTTAAATACCGATATATCATCTGAAATTGATCAGTAACTGTTATTAATGGCGCTCAGAGTGTGTGGTCGGTTCCTCAGAGACTCCGCCGTCCTTTCCAGACGGGTCGTCGTGTCCGCTCGACAGGAAAGTGCGTCATGGCTCCTCACAGCGGGTCAGTCAGCTGCTTCTACTTTATTCTGCCTAATTTTTATTTATTAATAATGGATTATATCAGGCGTCTAAAGCATGGGTTTAATACAAGCTTAGCCCAGCAGTATGTAAAGGGAGCTGGGCGACTGAACAAATCAGGGCATCTCTCTGTTCCTCTGAGGCTCAGACTGTTTGTTAGCACGTGATTTAAACTGTATTATGATTCTTTAAATTTCCACCAATAACACCTGTATTATCCGAGACAATGTGTAGGATGGCGGACGGAATAAATGACAACATATGAGGTCAAAAAGCTGCTATTTTCCCATTTTTCTTTATCGACTAAGTAGGTTTACTCATACAAGGAATTTGGCTCTCAGTGTATTCACATAGAAACAGACATGGCAGCTAAAAACTAGAACAACCCTGTGAAAATAAAGGTAAAGAATAGACAAAACTTTCATGTAAACAAGTATGTGAACACAGAAACAGACGTATACATAAGTAGCATATAAATAAATTAAAGTACATATAAAGCACCAGTAGAAAAAATATGATAAAACGATAACTTTAACATAACATACATCTGTCAGAAAGCACATCCTGACTTTATCTGAGCTGTCTGTCTATTTTATTGCTATGTTATTGATTTTAATTTCCATTTATTATCTTGATTTTAGTTTTGGCCTTCTTTATTTTATCTTTTACTTTGGTGACATTTTATGACATTTTAGTTAGTTTCATTCTCCTTGTGTTTTAAATGTGTTTAATTTTATTGTATGGCACCTTGTAACTGTGTTTTAAAAGGTGCTCTATTGATAAGGTTTATTACAAAACTTCAAGTACACTTACACACACACACACACACACACACACACACACATGAACATACATACATATAGACAATACATAGACAAGATTTACATGATCAAAGTAAACCAAACTAATAGCATACAGAGATAATTTATAAAAAAAAAAGACCACCCTATAGAAATGAGTTATCAGGAGCTGCTGTGAGCAAATCAGATCCAGCACATCTAAAGAAATAGGGAAGTTTGGGAGCAACAACTTAAACAGAAACTTTCATACAAACATGCAGTCCAAAGTGCAGTCTTTATTTCAGTTCGATTCAATTTTATTTATAAAGCCGCTTTATAAATAAAATTGAATCGAACTTAAATAAAGACTGACTGGATAGACCTGGTGGGCTGGATGATAATGTGCATATAGTGTATACTGTATAAATACAGCATGTAGGATTTATATTGGCAGTAACAGATGAATGAACATATTAAAAATTGGTGCATTAAAAGCTGTAGAACTAAAGTCTACAATGGGAGTAGTTGATGTTTTAATGTTACAGGGTTATTGTCAGTATATGACTGATTTAAATGTCCATCAGATCACTCATAACCTGTCAATACGTTTACACCTGTGACAAGATACTGCATCAGAATTTAAAGACTTCCCCTCCACTCCAAAATGTGTTTCACTTATTGTTACTTCATTCACTTGGATGTTGTAGCTTCACTGTGCACAGTGAGGTGTGTGCACATTTGGGCTGAAATTAACAGTTAGGGCCTAAGGTGACGTCTTCAAATTCAATGTATTTTCATGTTTTTACAAAGAAAAGCATCAAATTCTCACATTTCAGAAGCATGAAACCAGCAATAAAAATTACTAAATGATTATTTAAGAGACCTTCTCTTTGCAACTAGCAGTCACATCGAGACGACCCTCTCGTTCTCCGGGGAGTACCCCAACACAGCGGCACTCAGCCAGGGGCTTGTGAGGATCCCCACACCCGCCCAAGGCCTCTCACCCTGGGCAACTCTGGAAAAAGCAAAGTCCAGCCTCTCTCCAGGAGTTTGGTTCCAGAACCAGTGCTGTGCGTGGAGGTGAGCCCAACTATATCTAGCTGGTACTGCTCCACCTCCTGCACCTGCTCTGGCTCCTTCCCCACCAGAGAGGTGACATTCCACGTCCCCAGAGCCAGTCTGTGACGCCGGGGATTAACATGCCAAGGCTCTGTCCCTGCCTGCCACCCGGCACACAATGCACCCATCCCCGATGCCAATCCCTGCAGGTGATGGGCTCACATGGTGGCCCCATGGCCCAAGGCCCGGCCACCAGACTCTGGTCCCAGAATTTGCAGTGTCATCGATGTCTTTTTGAACCTCTCATAGTCTGGCCACTCCCTGCGACCCGCCTCGGATAAGCGGAAGAAAATAGATAGATGGATTATTTGACAATCTAAATGGTTGCCAGTAAATTCTAATCGATGAATTGACAAATCATTGCAGCTCTAATACTCATGACAGTACAAAAATACTTTATGACTCTTCAGCCACAAGCAGGCTTTCAGTAAGGCTCGTCATTTTTGTCTAAAGCATTTCCAGTAAAGTTTCCGTGGTCTCCTCAATCTGCACACTCACTCTAACACTTAGTCAGAATGAAAGGGCTCTGTGATTAATTTTATGAATGAGTTTATGACATCCAAGTGAGCATACTTAATCAGTTACCTCGCAGCCCCGCTGGCAGTGCAGTGATGGAGATGTTGATGTCTTTACAGGAAACGCTGCCTGCAGCCGAGGAGGGAGGAACGGATTTATCTTCACTCCTGCGTGTTTTATTACATCAGAGGCATTTCTCAACAGACTGATGAAAGGCAAAGTAGCAGCAGAGGCAGACGGCAGCTTTTATCACCCTCCAGCCTCAGTTCCAACGGACAGTGGTAATCAGACCTCTGCCTCAGAGATTTACATCCCTAAACTTATCTGATCATCGTGGCTCAGCGTTTTCCCAAGTCCTGCCGACATCATTCTGCCACCAGTGATTCATTTTAACTTTGTGTGTTTTCAGGTGAACACTTGTCATTGTTGCTAAGAGATCCAGATCAGCCGGACAACTCAAAGGTTTTGAAAGTGGCCATAATAGGAGCCCCAAATGCAGGGAAGTCCACACTGTCCAATCAGCTTCTTGGCAGAAAGGTCTGTGTCTTTAAGTGTCTGTCTTATTAACGTCCACACACTAGTATCTTGTCTCGCTGAGGAGGAGGAAGAGGAGGTGCTCACTTTGTAAAGCTGATGATTATGTCTTACAGGTGTTTGCTGTGTCCAAGAAAGTGCACACTACACGGTCGCGTGCCCTTGGAGTCCTGACAGAGGATGACACACAGATTGTAAGAGCTCTTTCATGTCTCATCTGTCACTATTGAGTAATGCCAGTCCAAAAACAAACATTAAAATATATATATATTTGCAGATTTTACTGGACACACCTGGTCTCACCACTGCATCAAAGGTCAAAAGGTGACTTTCCCTTTAAGATTTTTTTTTGTGTATTTTTCAAAGTCTTTTAATAACATAATTAATATATGTGGTAATATATAATTGGCCCTCTGTTTCCACAGACACCACCTGGAGAAGACTTTACTCGTGGATCCCTGGAACACAGTCAAAGAAGCCGACCTAAGTATGATAAAATTTATTATGAGCCTTTTATTAGTCACACCTGAGCTGCATTTTTATTTTTGCAGCTTTCGTATAAAAGATTTTAAGAGTAACTTTTGATATTTTTCACCCTGGACCCTGTTTTCCCATGTTTTCATATGAAAGTGACTAATGGGAACAACAACTTTTTCAATTGGTTCAGGATTGAGCAAGATGGCTGCAGCTGGCAGCGGCGAAACAGGCTGCAGTGTAACCACTTAAGTCGTGCTCCCATCGTTAATGTACGTCAACTTAGTGTTTGTTTTTGTTTCGTTGCTGCCAGCTGCAGCACCTTCATTCAGTACTGGAATAATTTAAAAAAAATGTTGTTCCTATTAGTCACTTAAAACATGGGGAAATAGGGTCCAGGTTGAAAAATACAGAAGTTATCCTTCCAGAGTGAAATATATAGCTGAGTTGTAAAGGTTGATAATTGTGAACTATGTCCATTCCCAGTGGTCGTCTTGGTGGATGTGGCAGACCGATGGACGTGCAGCAGGCTTGACTTTGAGGTGCTCAAATGCCTCGCCATGCACCCTGACATCCCTGCAGTCCTGGTCCTCAATAAGGTATTCTTCTCTAGAGTGACAGTCAGTATGTTTACATGGACAGTTTAATTCCACTTTCATTCAGAATGAAAGGCCCTTCCGATTAAAAGTGGTCATGTAAACGGTCATTCCGATTGAAAATTAAATCCGATTAAAGGGGGTGGTGTATTACGTTTGTCATTCCAAATGAAAGAATTTTGTGTGCATGTAAACATTCATTCCTCTTTAAGTTCATTTCGGTCTTTCTGCGCATGCTCGTTTCCTTGCCCTTCTGGCGCGATGACGTATATAGCGTGCATAGCAACGGGCTGACATAGAGCAGTCGGACTTGTTGCACTCACCAGTTTCCATTCGCCAAAGCACGGTCTTCTATCTCCCTTCTTCGACCTTCTACCTCCCTTCTCCTCCTCAACAGACGAAGCATTAACAGAACAAGGTAGTTGTCGTACTGCTGCTTCAAGAATATAAGCAAAACACGCCCGAATAAGGCACTAAGAACGGCGTCGTCAAGCATCTTGTTTTCCGGAGCAAGGACTACAGTGTTTTCTTCTTCTTAAACGTAAACACGTAACATCCGCCCCGCCCCCTATCCAATCAGAAACCTTCCCTGCCCCAAACCTTGCGCAAACCCGAATAAAGGTGATTAAATTGATCTCCCGTGTAAACCCTCATTCGGAATGAATATTTCCCATGTAAACTACCTGGAAAAACTTTAATTCCGAATGATTTCATTCAGATTTATTTCATTCTGAATGAGAAGCCATCATGTAACCGTAGCGACTGGCCCATTTATTCCGAGACCTTTTAATGCTACTGAGGATGTAAATCTGTATAAAGAGGTCATGGATTTATAGCTTTGTTTTTTCAGAAGGCTAAATAATTTCCTAAAACAGCCGGTCACTGTAGCTAATAGCAAACTTTACGTTAACAGGATTAAGTTAGATGGGGACTATTTTTGGTGGCGGATTAATCCACATTTGGGGCTTTAGTGAGTATTTACAGCAGCAGGACAGTGTATATGAAATCATATCAAAATAAACTACTTCTTCTCTTGGGATTTGTTCACAGTAAGGAAATCACATGTCTTCACCAGACATTCCTTGAACACTTCCCAAAACATTCAAGGAAAGTCTCACAGATGTCTTCATTGTCTGTTTTTTAGGTGGACCTGGTTAAAGCTAAGGACAGACTGCTGGACATCACAGGACAGTTGACCTGTGGAGTGGTGAATGGACGCAGAATGCGAGTCCGGCCGGTGATCAAGCCTCCATGGGCTGAAAAGATGCCAGAGAGGGATTCAGACTTATCGCTTAATGACGAGGAGGAGAACGCGGGGCCCGAGGGCAGCGCTGAGCAGAACTCTGTGCTGAGCAAAGAGCAGCTGAAGGTGCTCAAAAGCCAGCGGGGCTGGCCTCACTTCAAGGATGTCTTTATGCTCTGCTCTGTGGACAGTGAGGATGTGGAGACGCTGAAGGTACATGTTGGATCATGGTCATACCAGGGCAAATTGAGCAAGATGCACGTTTGTTTGTCAGAAATACTTAAAATGTGTGCTGCTGTGTTTTTCAGTTACCCCTGCATGTAATAAAAAGTCAGCGCTCAGTACATTTAAAGCAATGACAAGGAACTTTTAGGCTTTTGTGTCTATTTGGCGTCCCTGTGGGCAAACGTGTCAGTGTTTCCACCGCACCACCGCCTCCTTATATAGGTCATGTAGATACATCAGTATTAAACAAAGACTTTCATAACCAGTTAAAACTCCTTGTTGCAGCTTTAAACTATGTTTTTAAGCATTAGTTAGTTTTACAGAACAGCTGTAGTTCAGTAATAGTTTCCTATTTTCTTTTTATATTAATTGGTTTTTGTTTAAATTTCATTTGATGATAGTAACCATGCTTTTATCTTGGTGTCGTAGAGCTACTTTCTGGTTGCGGCGAAGCCAGGATCGTGGCAGTACCACAGTGAGGTCCTGACCGACCAGAGTCCAGAGGACGTCTGCCGCAACATCATCAGAGAGAAGCTTCTGGAGTATCTGCCCCAGGAAGTGCCTTATTCAGTGACACAGGTGAAGCACCAATCTCACAGGGACACGCGGGGTGATAAGCTGACAGCTAACTGACTACACCCATGACATCTCACTGCACTCCCTCTGTGGCTTATTTTGAACCTTTGCTGACATGTGCTTCGGTGCAGCTTGCTGCCTCAGCCTCCACCTGCTTCACTTCTGCTTTCCACGTGCACCCTGGAGGGCCATTTTGTATACGCCAGTTCACATTCTGGCATTATTTTCATTGTTGTCTGCGTGTTATTTATTATGCTGGTCTGTGTTTACTGCGACTGTGGAATTCTGCAGGCACAGGTGTAGAATCACACCACAGAGTCAAACTGTGTTTCTGACAAACTAGAAACAAATGAATATAAATGAAAAAAAAGGACACTTATATATCCCAATCAGTCTTTTAACACACAAGAATCCTGGGATATGTAGTAGTGGTCACAGCTCTAAGTCAACATCTACTGTTCCACATTCACCTACATTTTATTGACTTTTGTAGAAGTGAGTAAATTATTAATATTTAAATGTCTCTGTTTCAGTCGGTTGAACTCTGGCAAGACGGAGAAGATGGTGAGCTGAATATTTCTGTGAAACTTCATGCCAAGAAAGACACTCACATGGTAAGAGCTCTCTACACGTTGATGGGCTTTTGAGATGTGTGTCTTGTAAAGCTGTCTATAGGGCCTGAGTACTAAATATGAGCTGTGACTCATCTGTGAACATAATTTATGTTCAGCTGCTTATCTAAATTAAAGTCTGGGTTGAGTTTAGCATACAGTTTATTTCATTTGGCTTTTTGTTATTACAGTAATATGGGAGCCCATTTCTGCCAATGTGATTTAAAAAAGCTACTGTAAGTCATTAAAATGAAAAACTTTTTGAAAATAATGACTCTTAGCTTGAAACAATGACCAATCACAAATTTCGAAATAATAAGAAACCTCGAAAAGAAATGTCTTAGTGTCTCAAAAGTACGAGAGTCATCCTCAAAATAATGACTAAACCATCTCAAAATGAGATTTCTGGAAATAATGAGAAACCTCAAAATGATCCATCCATTCATTTTCAACTGCTTATCTAAAGTCGGGTTGTGGGGGCAGCAGGCTGAGCGAAGCACCCCAGACGTCCCTCCTTCCAGCAACATTTTCCAGCTCCTCCTGGGGGACCCTGAAGCGTTCCCAGGTCAGATGAGATACGTAATCCCTCCAGCACATTCTGGGTCTGCCCCGGGGCCTCCTACCAGTGGGACATGCCCGAAACACCTCTAACAGGAGGCATCCTGATCGGATGCTTGTACCACCTCAACTGACCCCTTTCAACACGAAGGAGCAGCAGCTCTACTCCGAGCTCCCTCCAGATGTCTGAGCTCTTTACCCTGTCTCTTAGGCTGAGTCCAGACACCCCACGGAGAAAACCAATTTCGGCTGCTTGTTTGTAATGACTTAGTATCTAGAAATCATGAGAAACTTTGTCAAAATAATGACAGTATTTTTTTTTAAAAATGAGAAACTTTCTTAAATTGATGACTTACTTTTCTCAAAATAATGATGTAGTATTTCAAATTATGAAAAGCTTTCTCAAAGTAAGAGAAAGTTTTGAGAGTTTTTTATTAAAGCGACTTAAGGATCTTTTTAAATTCCATCACATCAGCAGCAGTGGGCTTCCATAAGATCAGGAGACTCAAATGAATGTTTTCTCCTGTTCGTCAGTTCGATGTGATATAAATGCAGCACAAACAAACTACCGCAGTGTGATTTAAGATGCTGGGCCCGTGTCAGACACGTGACTGAAAGGAAGTGAAATGTCTCCCTTCACCTGTAGCTCCTCTGATGGCCTCGGATATTTATTTGCCGTGCCTCCATACCTCCACATCCCTTTTGCTTGTGTTTTTAACTGGTAAATATTTGAGCAGCCTTTCTAAACCATGCATATTTGATGCCAAAGAATATTTGAGGCTACATCTGTGGTGCTGAAATGTTTCAAGGCCAGCGACCTCCAGGAAGATTGACTCAGACCTTTCTTTAGCTTTTACATTCAACACAGGAAGAGCTCCAGAAAATGTGGAGAGGGTAAAACTCACAGGAAGGACTGACCGAAGAGATGGAATCTCATCTATGTTATGAGTCGTTCCTGATACAAAGCTATCTTGTCCAATTTTCTTTTAAATAAATCTGAGAAGATAAGATAAGACTTTGTTTATGCTGAGGGAAAATGTTGTGCGGCAGCTGCAGCACAAAGTAGGAAAGACTGCAAATATACAAAAGACTAAAATAACACAACAGAAGTTGCAAAATAAAAAAAAAACGTAACAGTGAGGTGCTAATAAGGTCCAATCCAAATATATACAAAGCCAAGACAATTACTTTTGTTCAGTTTTAGAGCTCAGTGCAGCCTTTGAGAGGGAAAATAAGGCTCAGTGGAAGTAGGAGTTGAACAAGTGAATTATCCTTATGAGAAAAAGCACAATGGGCTCAACATCTTTTATCAGAAATGTTTTAATATTCACCAAGATATTTTTTAGGTTTTAATTTTGTCTTGATTATCTTCTTGTTGTAATAGTTGGAAACCAAACTCAGAATTGAAAGTAAGATTCGAATAATCGCCTTGTCATAGACACGCACATTTCCTTCTGCACGGTGCAAGAAAATAGTTCCTACATGAAGCTGCTCACAATAAGGTCTGTGGATTATCTTGAGTAACCAGGTCATGATTTCTGGACAGAGACATTGCCGTGGAGTTTTTAAATCATATTTTTTAGCGCTTTGAGCACCTCATGCCGAGTGACATCTAGTTCCATTATATTGAAGAGAAGGCAAACATCTCTATGGCCGATAACTCATACACTCAGAAACTCACACCAGAACAATCTAGACTGACAGATAGTCCCTTTAAATTAAGATGCATTTCACCATCTTCAGTTGTATAAAACCTTCTAACATTCTTTGCAGCTTCATCAACAGATATCATGATACTATTTTTAATTCTTGTCTTTTAAACCTGCCTCACTCAGATACACAAAATAAAACCTCTGAGCCTGTCTGTTCACTGGTGCCTGACGTTGCTGTGTGTCTTGTGTCTCCAGAGCATGGTGATCGGCACAGCCGGCCAGATGGTAGCGCGGATCGCCCGAGAGGCGGGTGAGGACCTGAGCAGCATCTTTCTGAGGGAAGTAAAGCTGAAGCTCTCAGTCAAGCTGAGGAAGTGAAGAGGACAGAAGGACTTTAATAGAGATGAAGCTAACAGCGGATCCTGCTGGATGTTAGATGACTCTATTTGTATGTTTCTCCGCAAAGGACAAGACCCAAAGAGTCAAACAGAGGATAAGATGTCATCGTGAGTGAGACGTGGAGCTGTGAGGTGGCACATAACCACAGCTCCCAGTGAGATGGACAGAAAGTGTGGTCTACATGTTGACTTTTGCATCCTTAGGCTTTGTGCATCAGTAGCACCCTCATGCAGATTTTAATATAGAGATGTTACCTATAAGGTGTTATTATTATAGATGTGAAAACCTGTGACGCATCTGAATCAGTAAAGTGGAGAAAATATGTCAATTACACAAGCTGCAAAATAAATTCATTGGCATTTATTGAGCGAAGATATATTTTAGGCAACAAACATGACACAGACTCTCATCAAATGGATGTTTTGACACAAGTTTGACAGTGTGTTCATGGCTGAGCAGGTTTGGCGAGCTGTGAAAAGGCCGATGGTTTATCTTTGGCTCTCAGAGCTTTTTACTTGGCGGGCATCGTGCGCCTAGCGGGACCTGCACAGTCATGTTCACTCAAATGTCCCTGATGTACCATCCACCCCTGTTCCCTCCACTCCCACATCACTTTAGCCTTCTCCACTGCCTTTGAAGTGTGGCCATCCATCCCTGCGACTATCACTTTTTGTTCCGCTGCTTTCTTCCCTTTTCTCCTCCCCCCCCCACTCTCCCTCCCTCTGCTTTTTTGGCTCTCATAAAGCCCAGCTCTGCCCCCGAGGGCTGAATTGTCTCCCTAATGGATGGCAAAATGGAGCACTAACCTGATGCTAAAATGGGTCAGATAATGGTGATTGGATTCATTCCTGCTGCCTGTGAGTTAACTCGGCGGTTACTCTATCCTGGGCATCTTGATGAATAACCAGCTAGTGGCCTGAAGCAAGGGCGACAGGAGGGAGGGAGAGGCCTTGAATGTCTCGCAGAAGCTGTGTCAGCCCCTCGAGCTCTCCCTGCTCTCTGCGACGGCTGCTTCACTGTGATTAGATAAGCTGGCTGCGCAGCAGAGATCACCACTTAGACAAGCCAACTGCTGCTTGAAAATATTATAGCTACAAACTAATCGTTTATACACAAGATATTTAGAACGCCTGGTTTTTTGTAACCAAAATAATGAGGCACTTATTTGTTTAGGAGCTTTATTTCACATGCACAAGTACATCTCAAAAACATCCTCATGTACAACACATCAATCAGCTTCCTTCGTCCTCCTGCGCAGATGACATTGAGCAAGGGCCATATAACCCTTACCATTACTGAAACTCAGTAATGGTAACGGTTTGACAGCCCTCCTCTGTAAGTGCGTGCAGCCCACTACAGTCAGTTAGGCGTGAGTGCGTGCTGATAGCGCTGGCGGGGGAATGAAACCCTGGATAGTACATCATCTATACTGTAGTGTCTCTTTAATAAACTTACAGTATAAGATGATATCCTGTCCAGGGCACAAGATTTAACAGCTGCCAGAGCACATTCTGTCCGTGTTTGTAATCTGCAAGGCAGAGGTGGAACTAATTAGTGATGCACACAGTGAAGGTCAACCCATGAAAATGTTAATCACATGGTACAGATGCTATTTAAAAAATGTATAATAAAATAAAATCTTGCAGCAACAACGTCTCTGTCACCTGCTGCAGAGCCACGAGGCCTCAGCGACCTCCCCTCTGTGTTAAATACTCACCTTTTTGCATTAGGTTTGGCGTCTGTTGTTGGTCACCGACACTACCCGTCACCTGTTCCTGTTTAATGGCTGCTATGTGTCCACGTCTGGAGCCCCTGCACGCTGGGCTGCGGCACTTAAAGGCCCCCGGGCTCATTAGCATATTGTGATGACATCTGGGGTGGACCAGACAGCACGGGGTGAACTTTTCTTATCTGGTCCTAACCTGATAGCCTCTGGCCCGATTATGGCCCACACCCTTATTACACCCAGCTGGACTTTGCAGAAAAAAGACACATAAGTTGTTATTTTTACTGCACGTACGCTGTTATTTAAAATAAAAACAGTGGGCAGAAGCAAAAAGTTAATTTACCATTTTCAGCCATTTTGATAACTTGAACAAAATACAGCACCTTCTCAAATTAATTCACTTACACCATTTGGAAATTTTAGAAATGTGATCTTAAACCTCCCGACCTCTCCGTGTAACTGTTTTAACATTAATCTATTTTATATTACATTATAGGGGAGGCTGGGGTTGGTTGGCACGCAGCTGTTTTCTGGTTCTATAAAGGTCACAGACACAAAAATGTAACCTCACATTGTTTGCTTTCTTCACCTGCACTTTGTTAAGATGTCTAAAAGTCACTGACGTTTTGGTGAGGATAACATTTCAGTAAATAAAGTATAGATATGTATAAAGTAAAAAGTAAAAACAAAAAAATGTACAAAGTAAAAAAGTGTCGGGGGGGTCACATTTAAATTGTAACAGGTGACATTACTAATTAAATAATGTAACTATTCTAATTAACTCATCAAAATAATGTAACTCATTGCATTTGATTACTTTTCTTACAAGTGTTTTAAACTGTTTAATAAAGTTGAAAAGTAAAAAATAGACTTTGCAAAAAAAAACATTATTGCATGATGAAAAAATGCAAAGCAAAAGAATAAATGTTTTATTCTACATATAAGCCTTTTACCAAAAATAATATAATCAGATGTAACCTCTTTATAATCACCAATATTTTCATCAGTAACTGTAATATTGTTACTTTTTTCCCCACAGAAACTGTAATTGATTACTACTTTGTAATTTAATTACATGTAATGTAACCACTGGCAATGAGAAAGTAAAATTCGATTTTTGAAAGATTTTTTTCTTTTTTGAAGTTATCATTGTTAATTTGTTATTGTTATTTTGAGAAATCAATGGCAAAAATAATCAGACGTTCCTATGGTTGAAGTGCTTAAAAATATAATTTGGTTTAAAACATTTACAGATTTTCGATTAAATGTTCATTTTTTCTGGTTCTTGTTTAAATCAAAAGCTCAAATTGCTTCATTTAATTGTAACTATAACATTTTAACATGATGTGGCTGATTGGCACAAATGCGCAACTTGACCTTTATCAGAAATCATCTAAGTTTAGAAACATTTGCGTGGATTAAAACCGGAAAGCACGCCGTCTTCTTATTGCTAAATATTGTAATTCTAAAGTTGAAATTAATGTTCTGTGTTGGAATAAAAGAAAGTGAAAAATACAAAAAAACATATTATATTCTGTGTTGGTACAAAATAAAAACGAAATAAATACACCACAGTGTCTCCATGGTGACGGCATATATAACCCAATAATGACAGTGATGCACATAACCGAATTATGATGCAGGCTGCAAAATCTGATGTAGAGGGGGAGGGAATATCACCTACTTGGCGGAGGTCTGCACTCTGAGTGCTTTTCTAGTATTGATTTTTATTATCTCTGAATGGTGTTGCCCTTTCTTTGTTAATGTATATTGTTGTTTTGTTTTATCCTTTTGCTTCTGTAAGATCTCTCAAGTATGAATAAAGGTTGACTGAATGGGTCATTTTGTGCCAGTGTTGATTTTTTTCCCACACCTTTCACTTAGCAGCAGCATCAGAAATACTTTCCTCAATATTTCACATTCTCCCCCAAATATTTTTAATGTCCAAACCACTACAGAATTTTGTTGTGACCTGTCTGCATCAAACATGTCTAATTAAAAGACTAAAGCAGTAAAGACATTTTTTCATCATCGACTAGAATGCCCGGAGCTTTTTCTCATAATAATACAGCTTACGTCTCCTGAAGCTCATAGCCTGTGGATTTATATGTGATGGTTTCATGGATTGGAATTTAATGCGTCAGCTGATGTGATGTTATCTGATTTATCAAACTCTTATTCATGTGCTCAGCTAGATTCCAGGATATGTTGAGCTGAGATCTGTTTTTTATTAGAAATGTCATAAGGGTACCACATGTCAAATTTAAAGCATTAAATTATGCCTGGATGGTGAAAGCAGTGTGGTTTGTCTTCAATCTCAAACAGTATGTCCATGAATAATACACTGCATTTGTAAGAAAAAAAGTAAGTCTGTGTGGTGGACTTTACTCTCTCACCTTCTGCCACAATAAAACCTATGGACCCTGAACTAGATCAGATTAATTTACACAATTACATGACCAATTTTCATACTTTTATGACATATTATACTAAGATCATGTTTGATGATTTCTGATGACTATGACAATTTTTTTCATGGTTTTGGACGGCATACTATACTATGACTTTTTTTTCATGATTTTGGACGACATACTATACTATAACTTTTTTTCATGATTTTGGACGACATACTATACTGTGACTTTTTTTCATGATTTTGGACGACATACTATACTATGGCTTTTTTTCATGGTTTTTGACGACATACTATACTGTGACGTTTTTTTCATGGTTTTTGATGACATACTATACTGTGACTTTTTTTCATGGTTTTTGATGGCATACTATACTATGACATTTTTCATGATTTTGGACGACATACTATGCTATGACATTTTTTTCATGGTTTTTGACGACATACTATATTATGACTTTTTTCATGATTTTGGACGACATACTATGCTATAACTTTTTTTCATGATTTTGGACGACATACTATACTATGACTTTTTTCATGGTTTTTGATGACATACTATACTGTGACTTTTTTTCATGGTTTTTGATGACATACTATACTGTGACTTTTTTTCATGGTTTTTGATGGCATACTATACTATGACATTTTTCATGATTTTGGACGACATACTATGCTATGACATTTTTTTCATGGTTTTTGACGACATACTATATTATGACTTTTTTCATGATTTTGGACGACATACTATGCTATAACTTTTTTTCATGATTTTGGACGACATACTATACTATGACTTTTTTCATGGTTTTTGATGACATACTATACTGTGACTTTTTTTCATGGTTTTTGATGACATACTATACTGTGACTTTTTTTCATGGTTTTTGATGGCATACTATACTATGACATTTTTCATGATTTTGGACGACATACTATGCTATGACATTTTTTTCATGGTTTTTGACGACATACTATATTATGACTTTTTTCATGATTTTGGACGACATACTATGCTATAACTTTTTTTCATGATTTTGGACGACATACTATACTATGACTTTTTTCATGGTTTTTGATGACATACTATACTGTGACTTTTTTTCATGGTTTTTGATGACATACTATACTGTGACTTTTTTTCATGGTTTTTGATGGCATACTATACTATGACATTTTTCATGATTTTGGACGACATACTATGCTATGACATTTTTTTCATGGTTTTTGACGACATACTATATTATGACTTTTTTCATGATTTTGGACGACATACTATGCTATAACTTTTTTTCATGATTTTGGACGACATACTATACTATGACTTTTTTCATGGTTTTTGATGACATACTATACTGTGACTTTTTTTCATGGTTTTTGATGACATACTATACTGTGACTTTTTTTCATGGTTTTTGATGGCATACTATACTATGACATTTTTCATGATTTTGGACGACATACTATGCTATGACATTTTTTTCATGGTTTTTGACGACATACTATATTATGACTTTTTTCATGATTTTGGACGACATACTATGCTATAACTTTTTTTCATGATTTTGGACGACATACTATACTATGACTTTTTTCATGGTTTTTGATGACATACTATACTGTGACTTTTTTTCATGGTTTTTGATGACATACTATACTGTGACTTTTTTTCATGGTTTTTGATGGCATACTATACTATGACATTTTTCATGATTTTGGACGACATACTATGCTATGACATTTTTTTCATGGTTTTTGACGACATACTATATTATGACTTTTTTCATGATTTTGGACGACATACTATGCTATAACTTTTTTTCATGATTTTGGACGACATACTATACTATGACTTTTTTCATGGTTTTTGATGACATACTATACTGTGACTTTTTTTCATGGTTTTTGATGACATACTATACTGTGACTTTTTTTCATGGTTTTTGATGGCATACTATACTATGACATTTTTCATGATTTTGGACGACATACTATGCTATGACATTTTTTTCATGGTTTTTGACGACATACTATATTATGACTTTTTTCATGATTNCATACTATACTGTGACGTTTTTTTCATGGTTTTTGATGGCATACTATACTATGACTTTTTTTCATGGTTTTGGACGACGTACTATATTATGACTTTTTTTTCATGGTTTTGGATGACATACTATACTATGACTTTTTTTCATGGTTTTTGACGACATACTATACTGTGACTTTTTTTCATGGTTTTTGATGGCATACTATACTGTGACGTTTTTTTCATGGTTTTTGATGGCATACTATACTATGACTTTTTTCATGGTTTTGGACGACATACTATACTGTGACGTTTTTTTCATGGTTTTTGATGACATACTATACTATGACATTTTTTCATGAATTTGGACGACATACTGTACTATGACTTTTTTCATGGTTTTTGATGACATACTATACTATTACATTTTTTCTATACTATGGCTTTTTTATATGGTTTTGGACGACATACTATACTATGAAATTATTTTAAGGTTTTTGACGACATACTATACTTTGACGTTTTTTCATGGTTTTGGACGTCATACTATAACAATTTTTCATGGTTTGGGACAACATACTATACTATGACTTTTTTTCATGAATTTGGACGACATGCTATACTATGACATTTTTTTTTTCATAGCATTAAACGACATACTATACTCTGACGTTTTTTCATGGTTTTTGACAATATACTATACTATGACATTTTTTCATAATTTGGGAGGACAAGCTATACTGTGACGTTTTTTCATGATTTTGGACGACATGTTATACTATGATTTTTTTTTCCATGTGTTTTGACGACTATGACCATTTTTATGAATTTTGATAACATACTATACTCTTACCAATTTTATTATATTTTGATGACATACTTTACTATGACCATTTTGATGGTTTTCTGATAACATACTTTACTATGACCGTTTTGGGTTTTTTTTTTTAGGATTTTTGGTGACATACTATACTATTATAGTTTTTTTGTGTTTTTTGATGACAGGCCATAGTATGACCATTTTTTGTGATCTGTGATGACCTACTATATTATGACCATTTTGATGGTTTTCTGATGACATACTATACTATGACCAATTTCTTTTATAATTTCTGATGACATATTATACATACACATATCATTATTGTCACATACATATGCTGTCATATATTAACACTTATTATAGTATATACTTACAACATATTGTATCACAATAGCCATAATTATTATTCTGATATCATTATTTAAATTAATGTTGTTGTAAGCTACTGTCATTACTGTTTGTCCTGCATCTCTCTGTGGCTCTGGCTCTCTTCATGTATCATTGTGTCATATGGATCACTGTAAATGTATTACGTTGATCTGCTTTGTACTACATGTATTGCACGTCTGTCCGTCCTGGAAAGGGAACCCTCCTCAGTTCCTCTTCCTGAGGTTTCTACCATTCCAAAGAACAGAGGGATGTCATATGGTGTAAAGCCCTCTGAGGCAAGTTGTGATTTGTGATATTGGGGATTATAAATAAAATTGAATTGGATTGAAAATTGAACTATGACCATTTTTTTATGATTTCTGATGACATACTATGACCATGACTATACTATGATGATTTTTATGATTTTTTTATGACATACTGTACTATGAATGTCTCAAATGTATTTAAAATAGGCTGAATGTGATAAAGATGAGATGATTAATAATATATAATCAGAAAAAAAATAGGAAAAAAAAGGTAACCCAATTTTTACATTCGGCGCCCCATGAATAAAACCACCTCTTTCAAGTATTGAGTCCAGTTTCTTCTCATGTAACACTGATGAATGTATCTGCTTCAATAGCTAGTCATTAACATACAAACATTCACAGTATAGTCACGTCTTCAGCCACCATTACATCACCACTTTAAGGTCAAGTTCATTTATCACAGTTAGTATAAACCTGCAGAGGGAAACGGACTGTGATTCTTCTTTAACAATGGCACAATATCTCAATTCAGTAACCATGTCTTTATTTATAGTTGCTGTATCTGAACTGCGACATGTTCTTTAGCAAGGTCCGAGTTTTAGGTGGGACATAACTGTTGCCATAGTGACAAACTCCCTGGTCAGGGTGTGGGAGCTGGTTCGGGGTGTGAGAGGTCCTTCTGTAGGCACAGATAAAGATGGAGGCAGGACTATCTGGGTGGTGGGTTTTGACTTTGACTCTTTATCAGCAGCAGCAGTGCAACATTTTTTTCCGTTT